ATCAAGCTATAGCCCTGGGCCGGGTTGTTCAAAGCTGAGTTAAGATAACCGAGGGTTAGTGTAAAATTTGAACTCAGATATAAAAACCTAAAAAAAAGAAAATTCAGTTTTATTCTTTCGTCTACAATTTGATGATTGGATACCCTAAAGAGAATAGCAAAAATAATCCGAGGAAATGCTTTTGAACAAAAGAAAAAGAAACTCAGATTAACATTTAACCCCGGGTTAGCACTAATCAGCCTTCAAAGAATCGGACCAGCTGGTTCCTTAACCAAAAAAGTGATGTGGTAAGAAGTCATTCAGTGCTACACCCCTGGGAGGGTACTGCCATATGTTGGCTATATAGGTATGTGCCGCTGTAAAGGGTATTGTTTTCAAGTGAGTTTAGTCTTAGATAGGGTAGAGAAATCAGCAAGTTTGGGTCTAGAATAGGGATTTTAGATGTTTGGACTAGTATGGGATAGCTATGTTGAGTTGAACTAGGTCTGGGATAGGCTAAGGGTTCTGGGATCCCAGCAGCACATCCCCACAAGTTTAAGACAGAAAAGTACCAGCCCCAGGACAACACCCTGAAAAGGGGAGCTAATCTTCCAGTTCAAGGTTCTTTCATATCCCAAGAGTAAGCACAGAACTTTTCACACTTGAAGAATGCTTGAATTGGCAAACTGTTTCTAATTCTAGTGTATTTGAGCAAGTTACTTCACTCCTGGACTTGGGTAGAAATCACTGATACAGTTTTTGCATTTTTGAAATTTCTTGGCTAACTAAATTATCCTCATATGAAAGTCTTAGAGTTCACTTCCCATTTTGCATCTCAGAACCGAATGTTGTGTTGCAATGGGATGTCTTAGTCCTGGTATGATGTATAAAAGGGTAAATTTGGTTAGGAAATACAAAATGTAAACTTGTAAACCAGAGCTCTGCCCATCATTCCAGAAGTGGAATCAAGAATGAAGCAGTCAGATATTGTTTAAGGGCCGTAATGGTTTAATTTGGCCATTACAATCATTTCCTCAATTTCTAGCGCCACGTGAGAAGTCGGATTTGTTGAAGTGTACGAAAAAAATGGCGTTGTCATACAAACGCTGACGTATCTACAAGTTTATTAATAATCCATACCTCTCAAAAGTTGTTTGTACTGGTTGATCATAAGGCGATAATAGCCTTCAACCAATGTGATCAGTGAATAAGCCACCTGAGGAGAGCTTGCTGTCAAGATCTACAAAGGGATGTTACAATTATGTCAAACTGCTACTTGATTGATATCTTTCTTATAGCTACAGTATGAGAACTGTACTTGCTAAGATCAAAAGCTGCATGTACTGTACCTCTGGTCTGGAATTTTTTCTAATAATTGTAACTGTATTTTTCATTGGGTCCAATTCCAGAGCTTCAACCTCAGAAAACTCTTGGACTATGTCTTCTGGCAACTACGGTAAATGAAAAAAAGTACAAACTATATATAATTAATGTCTGAATTAAGTCATCAAATCCACATATTCAACAGTATGTCATTACCATCACTGCAACCATCATCATCATTGGTAGTGAGATTAAAAACACCACTGTCAATGACACCAAATCATCTTTAACATCGTTATTATCACCATCACCTCCTCCACTTCCATCATCATAATTACCCCAGTTATCATATCATCATCATGATCACCTGCAGGCTGTCATCATCACCACTATCATATTGATTGACAATTATCAATCACCAAGATTGTCATTAATATCACCATCATTCTCATCATCATTATCACTGTCATCTTCACCACAATACCCAACATCATCGTCATTGCCATAACCATCACTATCATCATCATCATCATCATCACATTATCCTCGCTGTCAACACCACCACCACCACCATCATCAACATTGTCACCATCATCATCATCACTATCACAACTACCATCATTGTCATTGACCATTGTCACAATAACAACCACCACCATTGTTGTGTTTTTCCCCGCCATTTATAATAATTATGTCAATATATAATCTTTGTCTCAGTATCAAGTGACTTCAGATTGTACAGTTCAGCGGGTCACAAAATTTTGAGCTTTGCATTAAAGTTTTACATGTAGATTCTATTTTTCCTAGTTTGCGGTTTGATGCAGTAGCACAAACAATGTTACTACTCAAGTATTGTTTTGTCAATGTATTTGCTTGTGAGGAGAGGTAAAAAGAGCGAAAGAATTATGCACGATTAAATGATGCAAGAACTAGAAATTTGTGCCAAGCAATAATCTCATGTTTACCCTCCCATCAATGTGTGTCACAACCATCATCATTTTCATCATAAACACCACTGTCATCACAATCACCATCATCATACCACCATAATCATCCTCATCATCGCCACTATCATTTTCACAATAAGCAATAACCTGATCAGCAGCAGAATGATTAGATCATCATCATCACCAACACCAACATCGATCATTATCATCATCACCACCACCACCACCATCAACCCTCCAAGTTAAAGTTTTTGCTTGGTCGCCCTTGGCGACCAATTCTGTTGGTTTAGGGAGACTTTTTTACAAATCAAGTCGCCAGCTTCAAAATTTTAGGCGCCATGGCAACTAAAACGGTCGCAACTTGGAGGGTTGATCATCATCATCATCATCATTCTCACCACCACCATCACCATTATGGACCTTACGTTAGGGTGGACAGTAAGGAGGTGGAGGACAGCAACCAGAAATAAAAGTTGCCCGATTTGGGGCTAATTTGCATTTATCTCAGCCATCCAGCCTACATCGACTGCTTGTCGTGATGGTGAGAAAGCTTAGAGTGGCGGTGTTTCAAGAACGTGAGTTTTCTCTTCATGTTTGTGTCCTCAAAATATCTTTATTTTAACAGAATACGGCTTTAATCTGTTTCTGTAATGTCTAGTCTACTACAAATGGTAAACCTTTCTCAACTACTTGTTATAACACTATTTTATGATGGAATATAGCACACTGAACTTGTCCAAATGGTACAACTGCAGGATTAGAATTCCCAGAGATAAAGTTTTATCACATTTAATATTCTTGCATCATGTGAAAATCGACTCCTTCTCTTTTCTTTTTTCACAAAGTATTTAGTTCATTTTTTGTGCTTAAGTTATAGGCCAAAATGCAAATACGTGTTTATTGGTTCATTTATTCGACAAAATAAAGCCCTTGATAAAGCAGCATGAAGGAACTTGTTTATTGCACACAACCTGTCCATCATATTACTTTGTTCTTATTTTAAGAATATAGAGTGGACTAAAGATCACGATATTCAGCTTGCTAAAGAATTTTTGTAAGTGAGCCCTACTTCTTCAAGCCCAGAACTGTGTAAGCTTGATTACCAGCCATTGTTAGCCAAAGAACAGTGGAGTGTGGGAAAATGTGCTAATACATAGATTGCAAATAGGCTCAATGAAGCGACGAACATTCACTTTCAAGAAACTGAAGCGTTGAACTTGATTTCAGTGTACAAGAGAACGAATTCCTCATCTGATATGACACCAGCATATACAAGTAGACCAAAATCTCTCAGATCTCTTTCCAGGAACTCATTCTCTCGAACCTTCAATAAAGTTAAAAAAGTCTTCGAGTGTCACCTCTACTGAAACTTAAAGTTTGTTTCTCTTGCCAAGTCAACATCATCCCTCCCCAAGCCACCACAGCCAAAGTCACCATCCTCTATGAACTTAAGGTTGGTAATGTCATCATCATCATCACCACCACCACCACCACCATTCTCACCACCACCACCACCACCATCCTAACCATCATCACCACTACCACCATCATCATCATCACCATCACCACCACCACCATCATCATCATCACCATCACCACCACCACCATCATCATCATCATCATCAACATCAACACCACCATCACCACCATTCTCACCACCACCACCACCACCATCCTAATCATCATCACAACTACCACCATCATCATCATCACCATCACCACCACCACCATCATCATCATCATCATCAACATCACCACCACCAACACCACCATTCTCACCACCACCACCACCATCCTAATCATCATCACCACCACCACCACCACCATCATCATCATCATCACCACCACCACCATCATCATCACGATCATCATCATCATCATCACCACCACCACCACTGTCATCATCATCATCACATAAACTGAGATAAACATCACGTTCTTCTGACCACCACAATCATCATCATGATCATGATCATCACACTTACATTCTTCTCTGTGTCTGTTCTTCTTTTCTTGATTCCGAATTCTGCACTGACTTGGACCTCAAACTTTCTGTTGCTGACCTCATTATCAATGATGTAAATCTAAAGAAAAATGTCACCACTACTGATAAGTTTTATTGGATCCATGGGATTAATGCGTTAAAAACTTTCTGAATGGCATAAATAGATGCATAACACAAACCTTCTCGAATGACAACTTGTGTACAAAGAAATCTTCAGCTCTTTCCAAAGAACGGATGTACTCAACTTGGATTGTTTTAACTGAAAGCTTCTCATACTCATGCAGTGGCACATTTTCTTGCAGAAATGTTTTAATATCTCTTCGGGGGTAGTTTTTAAATAACCCCCTTTGAAATAAGCGTATAATGCCACACTCATTTCTGTAGAAACGAAAAAATAACAGATGATCATGTAAAAGAAAGTACTCTACACTTGGGCATCAATTTGCCAGCCTGAGATGGCAAAGGGTACAGTTTTGAGCAGTGTCTGTCTCACAGACACTAGAATTCCCACCACTAAAGGATCAACAGATCTAGTATTAAAATTCTGATTCTCAGGTAAGGGTATCTTTTTGCGGTATTAAGAAGTGTGAAGGGGCTGTAAGGACACAGTCCAAGGACCTGCATGGCCTCTCCCCCTCCCCCAATATTTACCCCTCATCCACTTGTCTTGGGGTCTAACTGAATGATGATGTACATGAAACGTTAATGTTGAAATCCATTGATCAATATTTTGTCTCTTCAAGATTACTAACGATGCTGGCATGTTTATGTAAAGGATCCCTTTGTTAAGTATGTAGGAAACAAGAAAGAAACAAATGGGTAGTTAACAAATTACATGACCATTGTGGGGAGGGTATTATAAAATAAAACATTTTTTATCCTTCTGCAAATATCTATAAACTTTCCATTATTTTTATCCCTGGTTTAAAATTCATTTTCCTTGGCTAGTGGATATTTAGTTTGAAACAAGGAAAATAAGATCTAAATCAGGGATTTAATAATATTATTGAACCATGCAAATTATATCTTTGAACTTCTTTTTAATTTGATGTCTTTCATTTCACACTTTTCAATACAAATGCAGGCCAAGTCAATACAATTATTATTAAGGATCTCAAACACTCACTGACATATCAAAATAGAAATTATTAATTTATTAAAAGTACTTACGGGTTTTCAATAACATATTTGGTGGAGACATTTCTCTGCTTAGCACAGTAAACAATTTCATAAATTATCACTTTGGCAAAATCATTGTTATTTTCTCCAAATTCACCGACTGTTCCTCTCAAAAACTCTTGACGACACTAAAAAGTAATAAATTTAAACAGGAATGCTTTGATCAGTATCAACCAAAGAAAAGCTATATACCCTGAGAGCAAGCATCAGGGCAACTTATTAGCCATTAAATCAGGACTATGCATGCTGCTTTTCAAGTATGTTATACTCTCCATGCATTAGTTCCACAAGGTATCAAATTTTATTTGGCCAAATTTTTTTCCCAGGTTTCCTCGAAACACTGGAATTATGTCTAGACAAAATATTAATATAACAAATATACAAAGTGGTTTTCCCGACTCACTAGGCTGATTTAGCAACAGAACGGGACCGTCATTTGACGACGGGAAAGCGCGCGGTAAGGACTAAACTCGACTTCTGGTGCCCAATTTGCCGCTGTGCCATATTGCCCGTACGAACGACGCAACGCTGCCGCAGCGATGCAGCAGTTCACTTTTATGGTTGCACAGCGCTTAAGCGTCTGTAAAGCAGTGCTCGTGAGTCGCTAAAGCAGAGAACGTCACATTTCGTGCACTGCGAAAGCGCTGCAAAATTTTGCAGCAGCGCTGCGGGCCGCTACTTAAAAGCTGCAATGAGACTTAGATATAAACATTGAAACCACTCCATATGGCAACCTGAATACAAGCGATGCTTGAGGCTGCATTATCGCTGCACAACGCTGCAGATACCGAATAAGGACTTAAAGATCTTCAAAATTAAAACCCTGTAGAGCAAACCCGTACGAAACTTGCAGCGCTGTACGGCGCCACAAAATCGCTTCAAAATAGCTGTACAGCTAAATTGCAGCTGTTTAGCAGCATTTTAGAAGCCAAACAACAGCTTAATTCAAGTTGCAGCAGGCTGCAAAAGCACTGGTGCAGCCTTTGAAGCTCTCAGCAGCAGTTTTGCAGCGCAGTTGCCGACTTTCAAATGCTGCGAAATAGCTGCAGTAACGCTACAATTCAGCTGCGCTCGATCTGATAGCACGACGTTCTTGAGCGCTCATAACATGAATCGCCAGAAAAGCCTTTTGCCACAGATTACGGCTTTCATAACGAGAAAACTTTGACTGTACCTCTAAGAAATGTGAGTAAGCTTGTGCGCTTATTGAATAAACCTCCAAATTCTATGCTTTTGGAAATTATAAAGATTTCAATAAATTTTATTCCGTCACAGTGATATGTGTATCCCTAGTGATATGTGTATCCCTCCAATATGGCTGCCAGTGAAATGTGTATCCCCTACCCCCCATCCCTCCAAACAAGTGTCGGTTTTATTTCTGTTGCTTTTGTGAATTTTGCAAATCATCATCAAAGGGACTACAAATGATTCAAGATTACGAGCAACAAAATCGACAAAAGAGCAACGATTTGAGACAAAATAATCGCAAAGCTGTCTCTGGCGAGTTTACTTCTTCGTGGGCCGCAATGTTGATGTAAACATTCGTTCTCGCTCCTCTCCTTATCCAACGTGATTATAATTCATATGTCACTAGTCGCGTTAAATAAGTATGACTGACAAAATTTCATTCAGCAAGGGATAACTCGGAAAGTCAAAAAATAGAGAGGGTATACACATATCTCTGCGCTGGTCCAGTGATATGTGTATCCCCCCGTACAAGCACCATAATTATTCACCTTTTAAGTTGTTTGATTCCTGTAAACCTAGTTGTATTACTAGTTGTTCTGATAGATATGGACGATATTTCCTTTAGCAAGAGAAGAAAAAACAGGGGATACACATATCGCTGCGCCGGGTCAGTGATATGTGTATCCCTTCTGCGAGCGCCACAATATTCCACCTTTGCATGTTGCTTGATTCCTGTCTTAACCCTAGTTGTGTTACTAGTTATGTTAGATGATATCGACGACATTTCCTTTAGCAAGAGAAGATATTTCCTTATTGTTTCGTGGATGAGCATCAGTGTTTATTGTATCCCCACCCGGGATACTCATATCACTAGGGATATGTGTATGGGGTACACATATCACGGGGATACACCTATCACTGTGACACCGTGACTGGCGAGTGTGGGAATGTTATCGCTAATTCCCTGGAGACATTCTAGGCTGTAATCTAATTGGTCGGCACTTTTGCATCAGATACCATTACATCTCTAGACAAACATTTGCGACCGTAGAATGAAAGACGCAAACATTCATACATTGTAAGTTTTTAGCATCTAGTTCTGTTTCGAGGTGGAAGTTCTGTTGATGTTTTTGGATTTCTTAGAGGTACAGTCAAAGTTTTGGACAGCTCAAATGTATTTGTAAACAACGGCACTGTTGCGAGGTGAATTCTGCGCCAAGTACCGACGAATCGAACCAGAGCAAGCAACACAATCGCTCTTATTCTCTCTATTTTAAAAAAAGATAAACTTCAATGTCAGCATGTTAATGGATGCTCTTACATTTAGATGAGTAACCGTGATTGCTCAATATTTACAAAGCGAGACTGTTGAAGATTTGTTATACGTCACCTGCTTTTGTAACGTGTACGCGTGGATACTAATAAAGTATCAGTTGCATTTTGTCTTTCTTGTGGTTTTTACTCCGCTACTATAAGGCCTTGTCAACTCCTTTACCATGTCTCATGATTATTGTATTGTTGAAGTCTGCATTTCTTTTTTTCGTACAACTGTTATTTGCAGCGCTTCACTAACGCTGCACCGCGCTGCATAAAAGCTGTTTATCGACCGTATGGCCTCGTGTGGCTATTTTTTTCCATCTTTACGGCAACGCTCCTGCAGCTCTAAGTGTCGCTACCGCACCGTTAACGCAGTCACAAAAATGCAATGCTGCAGCGAACGGAAAACAGCGTTGGTGCAACCTTTCTGCAGCGCTCGTTGCAGCGCTAATAAGTTGCTAAAGCAGCGCTGTTTTAACGTCTTCTGTATCGTTCGGGTGGTCAAGCCAGTTCTTTGATTTGCGCGTGCCGCCATCATCTGACGTTCCCGTTCTGTTGCTTAATCAGCCTATTACCAAAAATGAAGTATGACCTTAGTCAAAAGACAATATATATCAAAATGGGCACAGGATAATTTTAACCAGGGCCAAGTTGTTCAAAGCTGGGTTAAGATAACCCAGGGTTAGTTTGAAATTTGAATTCAGATATGAAAGCTTAAAAAGCAAATTCAGTTTAATTCTTTTTGTCAACAATTTGATGATTGGCTACTCTAAAAAGAATAGAGAAAATTGTCCAAGAAAATGCTTTTGATGAAAAGAAAAAGAGACCTGGGTTAAAATTTAACCCTGGGTTAGCGCTAATCGGCCTTCGAACAACTGGGCCCTGGAGAATAAAATAATGTATTGGAAACTGTTTAAAGAAAAGGGAAGTGTGATACCCATCACAAAAATTTTAATTATAATTATGTGATTCAACTATGGGATTGGTTGGCATCCAGCCCCCTTGCCAAAAACCAGCCTGGTACAGTGCAAATTGGTGGGGAGATACAAGCAGCCATTATCCTCGGATGACTCCATACAAGTCCTTTTAAAATTGGCTTAGGTAATAATGTTTATGATCCAGGCCTATTTTTTGAAGGATTTCTACGAAGGCATATCGGTTTGTAATTATCAGCAGTTATAAGCTTCAATAACATTTGTCATATTTGCTGTTTGTGACAAGTGAATAAATAACAGTTTGCAGTCTCCTCAGGCCCCCTTTATCCTAATTTTCAGGATCTTCTCATGCTAGTTACATTTTTTTCTGTATTTCAGGAAGAGGAGATTAAGAATCTAGGAGAGTTGAATAAATGGAAAAAGATATCTATCAGCATTAAGGATTCCAGTCAAGTAAAACACTAATATTATACTACTGCAAATATTTTGAGTTACTCACTTGATGGAAGTAGTATTCAAAAGTATTTGGATCAAAATCCCACAGTTCTTCACCATGGCAAGCTTTTATAGAAAGTTTAAAGCAGTATGTTTGATTGCATTCTGCTTCAGTTAATGTCTTGTTTGGATTGAGGTAAATGCTGCCATCTTCTGTGACAAGAGTGAAAAAATCCAGAGCTACTGGAGATACATTGACTTTCACTGCAGCTTCGGTGCACACATCCTTCAACAACAATATAGAGTTAAGATTAGGTCACGTTCTAAAGAGTTTTTTTGGTTGCTTTCCTGTTTGTTACAGTGCAAACTGGCTATTTCCAAAATCTATGCTGTTCAGCATCATCGCAGGGCTGTGCTCTAGCAGAGCCCGGTGGCCCCTGGTGCCTAACTTATGCCCTTGGGCGACTAGAAAATCGCTGGATTTTTCATACAAATCTAGGCACCCTAGATTTTACAATTTCAGAGCACTGGGCTCCCTTCAATTATTTTCCTTAGAGCACAGCCTTGCATCGTAGTATTAACTTTACAAAATGAAATTATTATTTTGAATTGTATTTATCTCATTCATGACAAACCAAACTTTACAAACCCACTTTGATTTTCCTGAATAAAAGTTGTTATTAACAGTTGCCTGGACTATAACAAGCTGAAGTTCTCACCTGAGCAACATATAATTAAGGGAGTGCAAATTATTTCTAAATAATGAGAATGTGCATGGTTTTAAGGTTTTTGGTCTTCTGTAGTAGTGGTAATTGTTTTCATTTGCCCGTTTTCTGGGTTTTTGCCCTTCTACTACGAGGATGTACAGTTGTAGCTAAGGGAAAGCTAAGCAGGTTGTTTCATTTTACGTGGGTTCTGTTAATCAACTGCACTTTCAACATTGTAATGTGTTGTTAATATACACAAAGTAAATCAAGCAAGACACGACAGTTGAGCACATGTTCAACAACTTACTACATTTTTTTTCACAATCCTGACATGCTCTGCACATAATTATGCCACACATAAAGTAAACATTACAAAGATTTCTCCACGTTTTTATTTTCCAGGGCAACTTGAGCTGGTTGTTAAGGTCTTTTTCAGCCGGACAAATAAGGCAGAAGCCAGCTCTTAGGGACATCCCTACTACTGCAAGTAGTAGTAGGTAGTAGTAAGACTTAACTTAAAGAAGGTAACATTGACAGTAATGAAAATAATAAAATATGTTAAACTGCATGCAGCTTGTGATGAAATTAACATTCTATTTCTCTGATTGACATGCAATATATAACAAGCACTTAGCTAACACTACAGGGCTTTTTTCCGAGAAACCAACAGGTGGAGTAAGACTTAAAGTAGTTAAAGATTTTACTTAGTACCCCCTCTAAGCCACTGTGTGGACAGTCAACACTGCACTTTAAAGTCTACTGACTTTTGATTGGCTACTTTGCTTAACAGTTCTTGAAACCAGACATGTTAATATAAGATCATTTAATATTCTCATTTCCGAGAATTAATGCTCCTTTGTTTTTATGGCCTCATAGCATGACCTGATGGGCCAGGAGTCTATTGTTCACTTTTTTAATATCAATAAGTAAACAGCAAACAGCAAAACATGTGTGCTAATAGAAATATTCAAATTGCATGTAAGTTCATCTCACTGCTTAATGCAAAGACAGCAATGATTTCACTGTAAATATGTTAATAAGTGTATGCAATACAGGTAAAGAATTCACTTTTAAAACGTAACTGTTTAAATGCTTAGGTCTGGCATTAAGTAGCCAGTCTCTTGAGAAAAGTAACCTGTCATTTATCCCAAAATTATTCTTCTGTCCTTGTAATGTTTGACTTACTTAGAAACTTTGAGTAGCCAGTTGATTTTACTGCAGTAGCCTGCTAAAAAAGCAGGCTACCAGCTACTAACAACAGCCCTGATGCTAAGCTAATGCTTTTCAATTGGTTGTCATTGTTTGTCAATCTAAAATAAGCACAAATGGTTAATCTCACTGACCACGAAAAGAATTTCCTAGAATTGATAAGATTTTCTCAGAAGTAACTGAACACTTCTTATTCATTAAGCGTTTCAAATTATGAAAGCTAATTAATTGCCCAAGGGTCTGAGAAAATAAGTGTTAAAAGCACATAAACACAAAAATAAAATTATGCAATCCATAGCCATAAAAGAATCAAGTAGTGCCCAAAGGTTGAATTTTTTGTCTATGTTTCAACACTTAAAGCTTGAAATTTGTTAGCTCAGAGTATTTTACAAAGCCTACCATAAACAGAATGATAAGTAGTTTCTCATTAACGCGAAAAAGAACAGATGACATTCCAATATCAAATTCTTACATTAACTTGCCTGAGTAAATACAGATAAAATTGTCCAACACATGTCAGTGCTAGATACAAGAATTAACAGGCTTCTAGTTGTGAAAATTCTAAGACAGTTTCCATAAGAATCGATTTCCTGTTATTTCTATCTACTTTCATTAGTTAATAACCTTATAAAAATACATTGAAGCTACCCCTAGCTAGTAAACATTACATCTTTTCCCATCTCTAAAACAACTCTTTACTTGTGGTCTGACTCAAACTAAATAAAAAATGACAACGAAAATAGAAGGAAAATAATAGATAATTGTTAGTGCTCAAGATACATATAATAAATTCTCAGAAAAGGGAATCAAAATCCATCAATTAACATAGGAGCACGGTGGCAAGCAATGAGTTTCTGCACAAGGGCATGAAAAAACATTTTCAATATTAAATATTCGCATGGAAGATCGATAGACATAACGACAACCACGCAATCAACATAACTTTACATGAAAGGATAAAAAAACTTACTCTGACACTTAAATTTGGACGGTAAACGACCGTCAAGACTTCATCTGTCGAAGCAAAACGTACGGCACCCTTTCCATCTCTAGAGGAAGTTGAACGAACCAGTGGCCATCTATTCCATCCCTCTCTGAACCTTCGAAACACGTTCAAACCGCCACTAACGCCCATAATCACAGCTCCTTAGCATTTTACGTCTAACGAAGAATCGCACAATATTCAAAGGACGAAATACATACAAATTTGACAACAAAAACTAAGCCATTTCTGAGAAGTTCCTTTCCGGGAAAGCATGCAGACATAAATCTGCCAGGCTTTATACTTCCGTTTTGCCGCGTGAAGTGAAAGAAACTGGATTGAACCAATCAACGCTCGAGAATACCAATGCACAGAATTCAGCGGAGGGGAATGGGGGCAGGGAATACTTCGAGCTCCAGAAAAGAAGTAAAAGTTTTCGCGCCCAAAATTCAGTGCAATGGCTAAAACAGACATTTTAATAAGGCAGAAGGAACAAGGAACTTCCGAAAGAGATTTGCTCGCCCAGCTATGGAGCCATTTTTAAGTCCAACTAAAAACAACCTCTGGCAATTCAACTGCCTTCAATTTTTCCAGTGCATGAACATACCTAACGCGAGAAACAAGAATCGTAGGCGTGAATGAGCTCATCTTGTCACCTGTCATTTTCTAAGAAATGGATTAGAAACGGATGTCTGTCACATTTTTTTTTCTTGGAAAAAGTGTCCGGCTGGGTGATCACGCCCACGTGATAATGCCCAAGAAAACAAGCAATCGGTTGTCCCCAATTCCCAGAACCTAACTGTGCAGACTGAAAAGAACTAAACATACATATATTTCTATATATGCATGGCCTCTACTAAGAGACCTTTTGTGGTTCAAACTTTAAAATATTGTTTCATTTAGGTTGCATACGATGTTTATGGTCGCTTAAGAAACCACTACCGGCAAGGGACGAGGTTTACCATTTTGCGCGACCAAGTTTTTTTACTTGTTGTTCTATCGCATAAAAACCAGGGGCGTATTTAGAGGTGGGCCACCCCTTTTTCTTTGAAATTTTGTATCTTTTTCCACGAATTCTCAGAAAAATACAAAGAATCTATATAGCTGGCAAGTGCGCAAGTGTCCGGGCCACCCGTTTCTGAATTTTCTGGATCTGCGCCTGAAAACTAATGCGTACTTTTGTTTACAATGCATAACCCTTTGCATTTTTCTCATTTTGTAACTAGCTCTATGGCTAGTTACATGAATTTACATACATACAACATAAAATAATATTTTTCACAGCAAAACAACATGGAACTACGTGGCAGCCTCCAGCATTAGAGAGAGACCTGGGTACGAGATTAGACTTCAGCTTACAAAGAGGCTAGCCTCCGTAGTGGTGGTTTTTTTGGTGCGTTTTTTCGTTTGTGATTAAGATACAGTTGCGCGAAAGTTGGACAGGTACCGAGGTCAAAACAGAAAACAACAAAAAACCGCCACCTACGCAAGCTAGCACAGACGGTTGCGTAGGCTTACGCCAGGAAATCGTTTCACAAGCAAACATTTTTAAGGATGCAGACTTTCTCATCATATTTTCCTCGCATTAGCCTCAGATGAAAGCTAGTTCCAACTTTTTGCTGGCAGTACGAAAAGCATCTCAGGCCGACAATTCAGGATACCTAGCATGATGTGAGAGATATGAAATATCGCAGCACACACTATTAGGTTTACTTTTTTGCAGGCATGACGAAAAAACGAAACGCAGCGAATTTACAAAAGATGTCCTTTTCCGACTATATTACAGATATCTGACATATTACAGCCATTCATTATTCCAGGCCAGGGGCGTAGCGTGAGATTCTGAGGGTATACGCACGCGGTGAAGAGAAGTTGTAGCGCTGAAGGCGGCCCAACCTGGGGGACTCTAGGGGTTTGCTCCCCCTGAAAATGTTTCAGTTTAGGGTCTCGGAATTGCAATTTCCAGCGTTTTCAGCAGGACATTTTCAGTAAATTAATACGCAGGAAAATGCAGTAGTTAATTGTTTATTTTAGCCATCTCTAATTTTGTCGGTAAGGCAAAGTGTTTACGAGAAAAAAAGGCCAAGTGACACCATCAGAATTATCATGAGTAAAAAGATAAGGAAATACTACACAAAGACACTAATATAATGCGAAAAATGTATCAGTCATCCCGATTTAATGATAATAAGCTGCTTTTTCTGAAAAGCAAAAATATTTTTTTCCATATTTCAGCTGCACATGTACGCAATGGGAGTATGAGCTTATATGGACGCCACGCACCTGCTCCGGTCTATTGTTAGCATTACATCAACATCCTAAAGCGAGAAGCAAGACTCGCGGGCGTGAATGAGCGCGAAAGGCTCATCTTGTCAAATGTAATTTTCTAAGAAGTAATTATCAATGGATGTGTACTAAGTGCTTCATTTCCTGGAAGAAGTACGTGTTGGTGATCACGTGACATTGTCAAACAAAACAATAGGTTGGTTGTCCGATTCCCAATTCCCAGAAACAAATGAACAGAGCAGATGTCGAAACAATAAGGCTCTGCTTACATGCGTCCAAGCAAATCCATTGAAGGTTGTCTACCAAGGTGACATTTCTCCATTTTGGAACTTATCAATTTTGGACACGTTGTATGAAAATATTTGTTCACGAGATCATTTACATCGTTCAGATGAGGATGTATGCCTTGAACGCAAAAGTTTTCTCGAACAATGAGCTATTCATGCGATGTAGGAGTGATGCGAAGAGAACTTTCGTGTTTTTTTGCCCATCAACTTTTTGAAAATCATTTTACTACATGTACACATACGTGTTATCAAATCAGTTTTAATAAGGTTGTGCACTCTAACCTTACTAAAATACAATGAAGCGTCTCATCTTTGTGCCGTGCCAGCGTAAGTTTCGTTTTTCTTGTTTTCTTGTCTACTTTACTTTGTTTCAAAGTAGGTTAAAATTGATGTATTCTAGCGCGTGCGGTATCCAGTTTTTGCATTATTCTTTTTGTCAGTAGTCGTTTAAACAATGTAGAAATTCCGTTGTTAATGTTTTGCGATTTACGAAGATTGTACATCTAGCAAAACCAGGAGCCGAGAGCGATGAATAAAAATTTTACACGGGGCGATAGCTTAGCATCAATTTGTTTTATACTACAAAGTCAGAAACTATACAATTTGCGCATTCACAACGTGACTGATTAGCCAGAGAAAACAACCAGCGACATTTCGCGAAGTCACCACTGGTTTCCCCGCGAAATGAAGTCTGAGAAACGAGTGAGTGCCGAAATTACATACTGATGACGTATCACTACAAATGACAACCTCCTTATTTCTTGGAAAGGCGGGTACTTTCCAGCGATCACGTGACTGTCTCCGGTCACCGAGCGGGTGTTTTGTGACTAACTCAAGCATTGGGGGTGAATTACGGCGAACCTTTAGGTACTAGGGCGCGATAAAACACAGAAACTTTTAAAATTTTTTATTATTTTTGTTTTGTTCTGGTAAGATTGTATTACAGTCAAACCAGGTCAAGCGTACCCCCCAAGAATCCATTAATAAATTTATTATTCAAAAGTTGAATCCGTTGCTAGTGGTAGATTTCAGATTGATCTCTGCATTCTTGTATGTGTAATGAGCCGTGAATTCACACGCGAGGCAGTTATGAAATTTCTACCAGCTCCATTTTCCTGAAATTGAAGTAAATGTCTTTGAATTTGACACCGGGAACGACTAACGGATTCATTTTTCAAATAATCAATTCACTGATAGAATCTTGGGGGGTACGCTTGACTTGGTTTGACTGTAATGATTCGCAAAGCACACGAAACTTGCGTGATCATTTGTGAATTCGATCTTCATACAGGTAGCTTGCGTGACAGGCGTTTTAAAGGGGATGTAGAGGGTATGACAAGAGCCCTTAACTTGGGGTGTTCAGTATTGGACAGAGGAATCCGGTTGAGGTATCGAAAGCATATAAGGGAAAGTTCATTTACTATGACAAGGGTGGGGGGGGATGAAGATATTGAAACTCGAAGCTTGAAATTTTAGCAGCCCCCCTCGCTAGCGGTTCAATTTTTTAGGAGCCCCCTCCTTGGTAGTCGAAAAAATTTCAGAGCCCCCCCCCCCCTCCTCCTTTAATTCCTTTGCTCCCCTGAAAAAAGATCGCTAGACTGTATTAAATATATTTACCGTTATTGTCTTCAATGGTTTATACTATGACAAACTTGAGACACAGTTGTGATACAATTTTCTAAAGCATTTTTGGGATGAACAAGAGTGTAATAATTACTGAGACTACATTTGTTATATCTGTAAACCACGTGATATAGCTGAGTTGCACAGGTCATTAAATTGTTGAGTTGAAAACCATCATATGATGATGTCATGTGTTGGTTTTGAAGTATACAAATTTTCGGAGCCCCCCCTCCTTGCGCAACAATTTTTTCAGAGCCCCCCCTTCGGGTGTCTAAAAATTTTCGGAGCCCCCCCTCAATATCTTCATCCCCCCCTTGTCATATTAAATGAACTTTCCCTAATGGTAAGCGATTGACCAGTTTACTGCAGAATTGCCACATCCGTTACGGTTTGAATCCAGAAAAAGGGGCAATTTGAGTAGCGTGAGTCTGGAACCGAGAAGGAGCCCAAAAATTGGTAAATGGTACGCAACATTCTGTTTGGTTCATACCAATCGGAATGAACGGACCACCTCAAAATGTACTCCTCAATTTTCGGTTGGAATTCCCGAAAAGTGACCTTTAATAACATTTACCTTCCATCCGGAATTTTCGAAATTTTCTGTCAAATGGTGAGCACCCTCGGAGTCATGAAGAAACTCCAATACTTGGCTTGTTTTAGTGCACTTTTTTCAGAGCCGTAGCTAGTGGGGAGGGGGGGGAAAGGAAGGCAGCTGCCCCCCTGGACCTGTTGAGCCAGACCAGGAGCCTCACATTAAGTCTGTGGATGGATTTGTTTTCTTTAGACTGAGTTATTTTTATTGTAATAACTTGCAATTGTTTGACATTTTCAAATGCGAGGTCGTTTTTTCGGAGACAAATCTTGTGACTTGTGTTGAAAATAGCGTTCTAATTTGGAGCCTCCAAATTTGAAATTTTTCTAGGGGAGGATACCCCCAGACCCCCCGCCCCCTCTTCCCGTTACAGAAAACCTAGCTACGGCCCAGTTTTTCCTGCGAAATGGAAGCTCCGCTTCGTGTAAGAGCACATACGAAGTAAAAGATATGAAATAGGAACACTAAACATCATTAAAAGGTCAAAAAAACTATTTCTAGGTCTG